GGACTTTTTTTTTAAAATTTGGCAATCATGTTGGCCGTGTTATAGCTCGTGACATGGATTTTTGAAGGAAATCTTCTTTTTAGTCAAAATTTTAAAATATTGCGTCCTTTAATCTTACATGTCATCCATACTCTGCTGATGCATTTTGCACCACCTTTGTGCACAAAATTCTACACACACAAAATCTGCTTTTTTTCATAAATCACTAAATCATCTTGAGCCCTTTTCACAATGATCAAACATTAAATTAATTTCAGGATTTTAAGCCTTGAAATCCCAGTTTATTCATTGAAAAAAGTCTAATGGTGTAGTTTTCCATACAATAAATAGAACGAGGATGGGACATTGGGGGTTTTTAGATTCTTGGACATGTCAAAGAACAGGAAAAAATTTGATTTGATTGATTTATTATTTTTTGTATAGTCTCTCTCGACTCAAAAACGCCCCATTCACTTCCATTGAAACCCCATTTTAAATCTCTCTTGTAATACGCTTGTATTATAAAACCATGCATTCAATAATGTCAGCATTTTTTTTTAAAGAAAAGAAGTGATATTTTATATTTTTACTGTTTTCCATCAGATTCAAACATTTTGCCATTGTAGGCTAATGCATGAATTTCTATTATTTTTGTCACTAACATTACGAAGCCGTGTGACCACCAGGGGGTCGGACGAGTGATTTATATGGATGTGTGTGTAAAACAATTTTCAGATCACCATCTGATTCATCAATGAGCACATTTATTATGCAAACTGCACCAACATTGAAAACCTCAAAAACAAAAGATAAACACAACAGAAAATATGAAATATGTATACATTTGAATCTGAAACATCCAGGCTTTGAATATATGATGTATGTGTGTGTTTCCGAGAAAGAGATAAATGGTTATCTCTTTGTGTGTGTGTGTGTGTGTGTGTGTGTGTGTGTGAGATGAGCAGTTTAGAGGGTTGGATTTAAGACTTGAAAATGGGAGTCCACACAGTGAACCTGTGATTTGATTTTTTGAATGTATATCTCTTTTATTTATATGTGCTCAGTTTTGCATTTTAAGTGATGTGATTATTATTTTGTGATTCTTGCTATTTGATTTTGCTTTGCTCTTGCTAAATTTCTTTAATAAAATATTCTGCAATTAAAGTCTAAATTGTGAGCATTCACTTTTTAACCTTTTGTGAAACAGTAAAGGTAATGGTCTAAGTATTATTCTGTCACAGTCTGGCTGTGGCAGACTATATCATCATGGGGTGTATCTGGGATGATCAGGAAGAGGAGTACAGAAGTCTGGTGAGGAACTTTGTCGCATGGAGTCACACAAACCACCTTCAACTCAACACCTCAAAGACTAAGGAACTGGTTGTGGACTTCGGGAGGTCCAGAGAAGGTCCACTGCCGGTTCAGATAGAGAGGGAGGAGGTGAAGGTGGTCAACAAGTACAAGTACCTCGGGCTGTGGGTGGACAACAAACTGGACTGGTCATGCAACACAGAGCACCTGTATAAAAAAGCCCAAAGCCGACTGTACTTCCTCAGGAGGCTGAGGTCTTTTAACATCTGCAGGAAGCTCCTGAGGATGTTTTACCAGTCAGTGGTTGCTGGAGTACTTTTCTATGCTGTGGTGTGCTGGGGGAGCAGCACAGCAAAGAAGGACTCATGCAAAGGAGGACTCAAGGGCAAGCTTGATGGCAAGGAGTTCCCGGTCCCCCACGTCATAATTCCGTTCTGCGGGGGTGAGACGACGTGAATAGTAAGCACACGGGTGGAGTTTACCGTCGTGCCGTTGGGAGAGCACGGCCCCCACCCCCGAATCCGAAGCGTCCACCTCCACGACAAACTGCTGAGTGAGGTCCGGCTGAACGAGGATGGGAGCAGAGGCGAAGCGGTCCTTAAGGAGGGCAAACGCACGGCGAGCCGGCTCGTTCCAGTGGAAGGGGACCTTAGGTGAAGTAAGAAGGGTTAGTGGGAGAGCAACCTTACTGAAATCACGGATGAAGCGCCGGTAGAAATTGGCGAAGCCCAAAAAACACTGAAGCTGACTGCGATTCGGAGGGGTCGGCCAGTTAATGACTGCTTGGACCTTAGCGGGGTCAGCCTTGAGATCGCCTCGGTCAATGATATAGCCCAAAAAAGAAATCATATTCACATGAAACTCACACTTTTCAGCCTTGATGAACAACCGGTTCTCCAGGAGGCGAAGCAGGACCTGTCTGACCTGGCGTTCATGTTCAGCAACGGAGCGAGAGAAGATGAGGATGTCATCGAGGTAAACAAAAACAGAATGGTTAATGAAATCCCGGAGTACGTCGTTAACCAAAGCTTGAAAAACAGCAGGGGCGTTGGTCAGACCGAACGGCATAACTAGATACTAGTAATGACCCAAGTGAGTATTGAAGGCAGTTTTCCATTCATCCCCCTCTCTTATCCTCACCAGGTGGTACGCGTTCCGTAAATCCAGTTTGGTGAAGATCGTGGCCCCGTGAAGCAGTTCAAAGGCCGAGGCCAACAGTGGCAACGGGTACTTGTTTTTCACAGTAATGTTGTTGAGACCACGATAGTCAATGCAAGGTCTCAGACTCTTATCCGTTTTCTCAACAAAGAAGAATCCCGCGGCTACGGGGGAAGAGGAGGGGCGGATTAGTCCTGCAGCGAGAGACTCAGTAATATACTTTTCCATGGCCTCCCGTTCGGGTCGCGAGATGCTATACAGTCGGCTTTTGGGGAGTGGCGCGCCCGGCAGTAGGTCTATTCCACAATCATATGGTCTGTGCGGGGGTAGGGAGGATGCCCCAGATCATGATAGACAGATGGGACAGAGGAGAGGTCAGGGGGGTCGGATGCTGGACAGGGGGTGAGTGAGGCAATAGCCGGGGTGGCGGCTTTCAAACAGGTCATATGGCACCCCTCCCCCCACCCGAGAATGCATCCCTTCTTCCAATCCAGTACAGGGTTATGTTGCTGTAACCAGGGAAACCCCAAAACTAACGGAGTGAGGGGTGCTTTGAAAACAAACAACTGTACGGTTTCAGAGTGATTGCCAGAAAGAGTTAAAGCTACTGGCTCTGTAATATGGGTGATATCAGGAAGGCGCTGGCCACTGAGGACTGTGACTTGAAGCGTATGCGGCAGAGCTGTGAGGCCGATTCGTAACTTATGGGCCAGAGCGGCATCAATGAAACTTTGCTCCGCCCCAGAATCAATCAATGCACGGAGTGGATGAGGAACAGAGTGAACATTAATCTTAGCTGAAATCATTAAACGTGGAGGAGACCGTGTGCAGGACACCTCGCCCACCCGTACTCTCCTCACTACCGGCGGGCACGATCTTTTGGCTGTGCTTGACATGTGGCGGCGATATGGCCCTTGTGGCCACAGTTAAAGCACTCACCGGCCATCCAGCGGCGATGTCGCTCCTCGGGAGACAACCTGAAGCGTCCCAGCTGCATAGGCTGCTCACCCTCGGTCTCGTCCTCCCTCTCCCGAAGGACTCCGCCCCCAACCGTGCCTCTGCTGGAGGCCATCTCCATGTATCCAGGGGGCTTATGGGTATTGAAGTTTCTCAATCCGCGGCGCGCTCGTAAACGCTCATCCACCTTTATGCACAGGGATATAACGTCATCAAGAGAAGCGGGTAACTCTTTCGTAAGCAATTCCCCCTTTAACTCGTCACAAACATTGTTCAAAAGGGTACTTATTAACGCCGGCTTCCCCCACCCGGTCTCCTCGGCCAACATCCAGAATTCCACGGAGTAGTCCGCCATGCTACGTCTGCCCTGCTTCAAATTCAGCAACCGGTGAGCAGCAGCCGCTGCCCCGGTGCCCCTCTCAAAAACACTCTTGAATTTAGAATGGAAATCCTGATAAGTGATTTCCGGATCAGATCTTAACACAGCCTGCGCCCAAGTCAATGCTCGACCACGTAATAATTGAACAAAAAAGGCAATCTTGGACTCATCGCTCCCATATGTCCTCCGCTGCAGTCTAAACTGTAACCCGAGTTGGGTCAAAAACCCTGCACATTTGTCGAACTCACCCGAAAAGGGCTCCGGTGTGGGTAGCGGGCGCTCTAGGGACTCCAATGAAGCCGGGGTGGAGGGCTGAGGCGCCGGGGGCTCCGGAACTGGGGCTTCTGGAGGCGAAGGCGGAGGCGATGTGGGAGGGCTTCCCAGAGGCACATGTTGGGCCAAGGCTTGGGTGAGCGCAGCCAGCTGATGATTGAGTTGCCGTAGCATGTGTTCGTGCCGCTCCAGTACCGCTTCCGTAGAAACGACGATATACTGGGCAGGGGCTGAGTCCGCTGAGTCCATAGTAAGGCTGGATCGTTACTGTCACGGTTCGCTTGAGGACTCACACGCAGGACTCAGAGGCACAGTCAGTATTTATTACAGTCCCACCAGGTGTATATACAAACAGTGCAGGGGATGGTGCTATATACAACGCGGTGACAGGAAAAGGGCTCCGGGGAAATCCAGGCAGGGAAAAGACACTCACTCCTCTTCTGGCTCTCTCTCCAAACACTCACACAAAAGGGAATCCACTCGGGGGAATCCACGCAAAGGACCCACGCAAAAACAGGGAGAACATGCAAACTCCACACAGAAAAACCCTGGCCTGATGGTGGAAGGTGGAATTGACCTTCTTGCTGTGCGGCAACTACCATGTCACCTCATATATTTGCTATTTTAAAAAAATAGTAAATCATAAATTTACTTTTTTTTTTAAATAATGAAAAAAAGGTTTTATGTTCGTAAGTGAATAAATACCTTAAGTATTATGGATTTGGCTTATTGAGATGATTTGATGTGGTTATTCTGCAGCATACAATTATTGGTTTATTTTCACTTTTGAAATCTAAAGAGAAAATAATACTTTCACGGAAGAATTTATAACTGCAAAAAAAAAAATGGTGGAACCGATTTATGGTGTAATAATTCCAGTGAAATCTTTATTTGATGTCTGAGAATTGCAGGAACAAAAAAGAAAAGACAAAAACAAGAATGATCCAGCCCTAAGTATATATTTAGGGCTGGATCAGATGACCCTGAACCTGTTACTTATGCCTGGGATGGGGCTTCCCGTGATGCACTGTTTCATCTTCCCTTATCTGTTTTTTTTCACTCACCATGTTTTTATACACCATTCCGCATTTAATTATTATTTGTCATTAATGTAATCTCTGGCTTTTGCACAGCATACCTTTTGTCCTGTCTTCCTCCTTTCACCCTCAAACAGTTGTAACAGATTTTGATAATATTTTAAAGTAATACGATTTTCCAAACTATTTTCAAAAATACTTTTTGCTGAAAGAATTATCTTAATTCATCTCATATGCATAGCTATGTAGAGCGTCTAAAATTATAAAACCCATCTGTAACAAGATATTGAGGGCCCCATCTAGAAAATTTCTGTTGCTGTGCAGACTCTTTATTTCACCTTTTCTTTCCTTACTGCATAATAACACTGCAGTGACACCAGCTCAGTTCTTCTCTCTCTGGTCCCAGCACACTACTGTTGTAGAAATAGGGGAGGGATGATTAGATAACTACTGATAACAGCACCAGCCAGCCTCCCTGGCACTAGCCCTCAACCCACTATACCACCCATCCCCTGCAGCTGAGCTACAGACCACACTCCACCACTACAGGGTTTTTTTTAATGGATTGTTAACCTGTGGTTGATTTCACTTCTGACTGTTTGATAATTTCTGCAAGTGGTAACTGAACAGACACTCTGAAACTTCTTACTATTTATTATATATAGTAAAAGCTGTCACATGTTGTGCTTGTCTAAGATCAGACAAAATAAAATACCTCAAGCTATATCGGAAATTATGAAAGCACAACCTTATATTTTAGAGAAGATTAGAGAAAAAAAATAAGCCTTGGCTAAGCAAGACAAAGCCAAAGCTTCTTGCTAGAATATTTCTATTTTGGTATGAAATGAAACCCCAGAAACGATTGTTTGTTTGGTGAAGTGAGTTTGAGTCAGTTCTTTGTAACTCATATATTTCCACGGTAAAGAAGTCCCACGATGAGCAGCAGAAGAAAAACCATGATTACAGTGAAAATGGTCCGTACTACCAGGTAACCATGGCAAGAGTTCTGTGAGTAGTTTTGAGCATTTTGAAAGGCTGAAAGAAAGAAAAAACAAAACATGCCCAATTTACACTTCTTAGAGTTACAAAACCGAACAAATAGCAGATGGAAAGAGAAGCATTTGAATAGGCACTAAATATTATACTTAAGCTGTTTAATTTTTTGGATTTTAAAACATACAGTCGATACATAATCAAGAGAGATGTTAGTGTTTGAGAATGACTTTTTTCAGTTTTACTGTCTTATATTTTTGCTGTGACTTTTCAGGTTTTTTTTTTTGTTTTTTTTAAATTGAGCCTAATAGTAAAAAATCTTCATGTCTCACCTCGGACTGCCAGCCGGCTCTCTGGAGATTCTTCAAACTCTGAGATATTGCACTTATAAAGCCCTTCATCAGACTCAGAAACTCTAGTAATGGTCATCTTGCCTGTGGAGCTGCTGTTGATGTGTCGGTTATCTTTGAAGAAATCTGCTATGTGGGCAGAAGGGGCCATGGTACTTCTACAGATAAAAGTCACGACTGCTCCCTCCTTCACAGGAACAACAGGACTTTCCAGGATCACAGCTCCAGCTAAAATATCAACAGACATTACTGAGAGTCAGCTGCTTTGACAAAATGTTGTCACTTTGTTTAATTTTGTCATTATTAAAGCAAATGTCTCATCAGTCAATCACAAGATAGCAACTCGGTGTATAGGCATAGGATAATGAGCATCAGAATGGGAGAAAAAAGGTGATTTGAATGAGCTTGATTATGCTTTGGCTCATGACCGTCGCCAACACAATCATCTTTAGGGTTTCTGGAGATGGATCCAAAAGAGAGAAAATATGCAATAAGCATCAGCTCCCTGGGTAGAAATACCTTGTTGATGCCAGAGGTCAGAGGAGAATGGCCAGACTGATTCAAGTGGATAAGAAAACAAAAGTAATTCAAGTACTTACTTTGTTTAATTAAACTGTGCAAAAGACCATCTCTGAATACACACTGAACCTTGAAGCAGATGGGCTACAGAGCAAGAGAAGCCAATACTGTCAGCTAAGAAGAAGAAAGTGAGACAACAATTTACACAGGCTTGCCAAAATTAGAACTGATCTGATGAATCTGGATTTCTGCTGTGATATCTGGCTGCAGGGATCCATCCTGCCTTGTATGAGCAATTTTGCATGCTGCTCGCAGTATAATAGTGTGGGGAATATTTTCTTGGCACACATTTTGTATTAGTGCTGACTATGTCCATCCCTTTATGTGTGTGGTGAATCCATCTAACAGGACAACACACCTTCTCACAAAGCATCTTATATTGGTTCTGTGAACAAAAACTCAGTGGAGCCCCTTGTTGCAGAATGGGAGATTCACATGCACATGAAACATATCCACTGCAACTGTGTGATGATATTTTTCATCATGTCAATATAGACATATTATTGTAGGGTCTTTACCTTACATTATAAAACACCTTGAGACAATTGTAGTTGTGACTTGATGTTATATGAATAAAATTTAACTCAATTGAATTGAATAAAATGAATGGAATATAGACCAAATCTCTAAGGAATGTTTCTACCACCTTGTTGAAATCTATGGCATCAAGAATTAAGGCATCTCTGCAAGGAAAAGAGGGCTAACCCAGTAGTAGCAAAGTAAACCTGAAAAAGTGACTGGATAGAGCACCTTTTTTTTCTCGTTTGTTTGGGTTTTACTCTAACTTATCTAAGCTTTAATTTACTTCTGACTAACTTTTTGTAACACACAACTAGATTTGTGGCATCTCAGTTTCGCTTTATTGCAGGTGATATACATAGTTTAAAGCTCATGTGTTACTTGAGTGAATGTTTTTTATGAAAATGCATATTACCAGTGACTGTGATGTTGACAGTGTTGCTCCTCTCGCCTCCAATCTCGCACCAGTATTCTCCGCTGTCTGTGAGATAAACAGGTTTGATGGCGCAGACAGACGCAGTTGTTGTCACCCAGTTACTGACACATGCACTGACTTCTCCCTTTCGTCTCCTCTTTACAGTCCATCCAGTTTCGGGATTAAGACCCTCACAGTTAATTGAGAGGGAGCTATATTCAAAGAGCTGAAGTCCAGTGGGAACAATCTGAGCAAAAGCTGTATTTGAAATGTAAAAATAACAATGATACTAAAATAAAAAGAAATGAGTTTGACAATATAGTGATATTTTGAAATATATGTAGGCTACTGCTGAATAATAATATGTTAGTGACTTTCTTTCTTTCTTTCTTTCTTTCTTTCTTTCTTTCTTTCTTTCTTTCTGCTTCTATGTCTGTGTTTTGCTTTGCTTTTAAGTTGATAATAACTTACACCTGTCCTGTGCATAGTTATGTTGAATTTGTGAAACCACCAACACCAAAAACGCTGTCACTGTAGAGATGAAGAAAACATAAAAGGGTCTTAGATTTTTTTAAATTTTAAGTTTTTTCAGCAAATAACTCCATCAAACAACATGTCATTATCAAATTAGGAATTCAGAAAGGGAGGATAAATTGTCAGGATAAATTACTACATTTTACAAGAAGACAAAAGTACTCACACAGTTTCTTGCAAAGAGCTGTGAGCTCCATGGTGTCTCGCTAGTGACTGTATTAAAATTAGACTGAAATATAACTGAAAAAATGTAGGTTAGACCCGCCTCTTCCTGTGTGACTGATGGATACCACTAATGCAAAAATAAACTTCGGCTCAGGCTGTGTCACAAAGGGACCCTGTTTTATTATCTTCGTTTAAAACTTTGTTATTTGGGTCAGAGACTTTGAGCCTTTTTTCAGTTGATAAAGGGCAGATATGTATGATATTCCAACAACTTTGTGTTTAAAAAGTATGATAGACTAAATAGTGCTTTGTTAGGTATGAGCTTTTAAAAACTGGCTGCTGGCATAATGGAAAGTAGGACTATTACTATATTATTAGGCCTGTTAGTCTTAGTATTTTTGCAGCTAGACCTCTGGTCGCGTAACATGTAAGCTGGTGGCACCTTTACATGATGCAATTCCAAACAAATCTGACTAAGCTATGTAACATGTAGTTAATTATAGAATATTGTATTATAATTAAGCCTTGATCTTTTATTTAACCAACACTTTTTTATATTATATTATACTATTTAGTATTATAACTGAGCCTTGATCTTGTCCTCATTTAACCAAGACTTTTTTTATATACATTTTTTTAAATGTTGTGTTACTGTAACAATTAGGAGGTAAAGAGTATTCTTATGTTTAAGTGGAAATCCTCAATCGAGTCCACTATTAAATAAAGCAACTGCATACTAAAACCTGCGACAACGTATGATGTCAACACAGTCTACTGGGAAGACAAATGTAAAAACAAATTAATTTTGAGCAAGAGAGAAACACTTATAACATGCAGCCAAAATTGATAACCCCTGCCCTTTAAAATCACCTTTTATCCTAGTTGTCTCTTTGTGGTTCCCATTGGTGTATGGGATTCCTGAGTAATTTTTAGCTATCCTCAGTGTTTGCTATTTTACATTCTGTTAATGTGGTCCACTCAGTCCTGACTACCTTAACTCTATTTGTTAACTGTTTGTTAATCTGACTACAGTTCTCCAGTCCAAATGACATTATCCAAGTGTCCAAGTAACACCTCATTCTGAATAAAGAAGAAACAATCTGATGTTGATTTCATAATGTACTTAGTTCTCAATAAAAGGTTTACCTTCCATGTAGTTGAGCTGACTAGTAAAACTGCCAGCAAGCAATCGGACTGACAGAACACTTTTGGTGAGAAAATGTAAAATGAGGAATTTCAGGTGATTAATTTATTATAAGTTGTCTGTCATTCAATCTCTAAATCTCATTTGCATTTGTATTAATATGCTAGATACTTATAATTAATTTTTTTTATCTAAATAAACTCATTTTCTATAGAAGGTTTTTAAATGTCTTCTCTATTACAAAAACGTATATGGATACAGCAACTGAATATTTTATTTGTCTTTGAAGGTAGGAAACATCAGGCTGGGCACGGCCAAAACAACAAACAAAAAATTCAAGTAAGGAAACCGAACCAACTTTCCTTTCGTGAAAATCCAAAAAATAATACAGGCTCTCATTTGTCTCCCTAACCTAAACAGGAGAAAAGGTTTTAAAAGCCATAAGCTTCCTACAAAAACAGCTACCAGATCAATCAACAAATGAGTCAATTTACAATATATAGAAAAATAACTAATCTAGTTCTTCTAGATACAGGAACTTCATCACACACAGTACATAACTCTGCACAAAGTAGGCGGAGCTACAGTGGTTCTAATTTACAGGGAGTTTCATTCAACCGATGGCCAGCCTCCACCTGACGCAATATTATCAGCCCCTCTACGATTATATGATGATAAATAGGTTAAAGGTTAAAAGGTTAAAATCTTGCAGCAATATCGACCAATGCATGAGGCCCTGATTGTTATTGCGCATGGGAGACAGGAAATGTTGCAGTGCTAAAAGTAATGCTAAGTTTTCCTTTTCATTTGTGCTGCACTTCTTTTGATGTGTATTGAATTTCTTTGAAAAGCAGCACACTGGGTGAGCAGCCTCCTGGAGAAGTGCAGCACCTGCACCATAAGAACTTGCATCCACCTCTAGCTTGAAAGCACAAGAAAAATCAGCAGCAGCCACCACTGGAGCACTGCACAGCCGGGCTTTGGCTGAGTCAAATG